TCTTACTTGCCTTGTGTCTAGTCAACACAGGTAAGGTTTATTGCCACATTCATATTTCAACACCCACCAGCAGATTCTTTCAGCCACATCCCTTCAGCCACATATCATGTAAACATGTGACTGTTTCAAACTCTATAATCTTATTTCCCTTGTCCTCCCTATGATGGCTAGCAGACCACATCTGCAAATAACAGAACCTGGAGGGGGAATATCCTCTGTAAGGAAGCATGAAATGGTGAAAAATATAAATGTATATATTTTTATGTAATTCTTCAATTGATCACACAGGTCAATCAATTCAAGAGCCATTTGAAAGCACATATAGAGAACAAATTGTTGCCACTTGTCTTATTAGAATGAGCTCAAATTCACTGCCTACCATTGATGACATCCACAGGATAAATGTTCGTGAAATTGGCCATGACCCATGTCATTGGTAAGCCCATGTTGCACAAGAGCTGTTAAAAGGTCAGAAGGACATCATTTGCATTGCACCCACAGGGGCTGGGAAAACTGTCACCTTTTGGATGCCACTCCTATTTTAAGAAGACAGAAGACAGATTGTGGTGATGCCTCTTGGGCACTCAGAATGAAAGGGAGCTTGCTGCGCTTGGTGTCAGTGCTGTTCAGGATCTTATTGTTATTGAATGAGCCTAGTAATCCCTGAGCACCCGTCATATTCGCAACTACCTAAAGTGGGTGTGGCACTTCCAGGCTCCGTTATTTGCAGATGTTGTCTGCCAGCCGTCGTAGGGAGGACGAAGGAAATAAGATTGTGGAGTTTGAAACAGTCACATGTTCACGTGATATGTGGCTGAAGGGATGTGGCTGAAAGAATCCGCTGGGATGAAGTCCCTCTCCTCCCGGAAATCGGATGGGCAGGAGCCTGGGGCAACATCAGCCCGGCCGTGGCACACAAGGTGGAACGCGGGCCTTACCGGACGAAGAACAGCGGATTCCGTCCATTTAGGGAGGCAGACCTGCCGCAAGGCGACGCCTACATGCCAGTGGCGGGGGGTGTGCTACCCGTGTTGTCGGTGACCTCGGACGCAGCAACGGATGCATAAGAGGCATGTACTTAGGCATCGAGTCGAATTCACGGAGCCAGTGTTCCAGAGTGGCAACCTGAATTTTGAAGGCCATGCCGCCACCTGTAGTCATTGATTTCCTCCCCTGCTACCCTGTAGGCTGTAGCACTTCATATCTTCTTTGCGGAGCGCTTCAAAATTTGTCCAAGAAAGTATTTGTTCTGCAGAAGTCTGTCAACTGACATACAACACAAAAATATTTCCAGAGGGAAACTCCCGGAATTCACAAGATTATCGGCGTTATCCTTAGCTATGCGATGCCTGAGCAGTCATTTCCAGTCTTTGCAAGCAAACTCTTTGATTCCACCCTCCTGCTCGCTGGTTCATCGTGCACCACCAAGAAAAAATGAGTTCGACCAAGTCAATTCGATCGATTACAGTTAATTTTGCTACCACATAACACAAAGGCGCCTCATCAACGGAAGGGAAGACGAAACAATATGCGGATCGCATCAACGGTAGATCACCTCGAATCAGCATTGGTAGAGCCACTAGAGCCAGCAGCCATAGCATATAACTTTTCTTTGTCGCCACTTTCGTCCACAAGAGCACGAAACGGACTCTTCTCGTCCTTCAGTAGCATATCAGGTTTCCCAAACTCAACCTGATCACATATCAGTATATGCTGCTCCATGAATCATACATAACGCTTACAATGCGGCCTGCGTCGAGCACCATCTGTGGATCATCAAATATTTAGTTGTGTATGTATCAAACGAGATAATAGTTCAACTCACAATTTTGTCGGCATCCATGATCGTCTGTAGACGATGCGCAATAGTCAGAACCGTGACACCCCTGTCTAGCTCTTTCCGCAGCGACTCTTGAATAACGGTATCCGTTGCATAGTCTGCGGACACTCTGTCAACGATAGTCCAGAAAAAACCCGGCCAAGCTTCTCTCACCAATCGCGGATGTTGCTGAGAAGCTATCAGTCGGTCTGTGTTCGCTCTAAGGTGGGTTGTGACATACCTTCGTCTAGAATCAGCAGCTTGCTCTGTCGCACGATCGCTCTTGCAAGCGCCAAGATCTGCCTCTGTCCCACCGACAAGTTGCTGCCACCACTGGAGATGTGTGTATCAAGAGTGATTTTATCTTCGTCGGTGTCCGTCTGGAGTGCAAACAAGCCAGCTGAACGAAGGGCATCGTTCAGTACAACGTCATCATATTGCTCAAATGGATCCAGATTCTGGCGTAAAGTGCCACTTAGCAGCTCGGGCTGCGAAGCGTCAGCGGTCGGTACAAAGGGAGAGCTGCGATCTGCGCACCACTTGTGGAATGATGGTAACATGCGACCTGAGCGCGTCTAGGTTGATACTATCCGTCGGGATGCCGTCATAGTACACTTTGCCTTCTGTGAGGATGCATCGCAGAAGGGCCAATGTCAGAGAACTCTGAAGGTCAGATCAGTGACAAGTTGCAGCCGATGATACGAAACGCACTTTTCCGCTACCCGTACGTCCCACTCAATATTGACATGAGCACAGCGTAACATACCATACGTTTGTTACTCACCAATTCCGACTCGCTCTCCGGACTTGACTTCGAAGGAGATGTCATTCAAAACTTGTGGGCCATCCTGACAACTCTATGAGCTGGTGCACATTGTAGCTGTAGGTCATCTTACAGGAGAGTAGCGTGCTGACAATTTCTCAACTTTAAGATCACCGCTGGCCGGCCAATAAGCTGGAGGGACGCCAATCTCAGTCGGCTTGGGCTCCTGCTCAATTTCTATGTATTGCTTTACGCGTTCCAGGCTGCGTGTGGTGTGAGATACAGCATCAATAATTCACAGAATCCATACCTGTTACCTAATATACAGAAATATGAGTACCAACGATGGAAGACACGTGCGCAGTCACCAACCAGCAACCTCCAGGAAATTGTAGATCTTGACTACGTAAAGGATGTAACTGCTGAAACCAACTGCACGATCGTCAGCAGACGTTTGTCCCCGCATGCAGCATTCACAGACCTGCCATGTTCAACGTAAAACCTGTGTCCGACGCAGATGCGCCTCCGTATACGAGATATGCTGCCAGACTGGAGGAAAACATGGCGCCAAGCAAGTCGATGCGTACGGCTATCCATCTGTGATCATCAGCCGGGAATGCAATTAGAAATAACGGACACATACCGACTCAGGTTAAAAAAAGTCATCGACGTTCTTGTGTACTTGTCGATACGCTTGAAGGACTCCCTCCTGAAAAAATCTTGGGCACCGTAGGCTCTTATAGAGACTACGGAGTGGTACAATCAGGCAGGTTCCTGCTCACCCAACGGTTTATCTCACTTAGACCTGTAAATGCTGCGCCAAAAAGACCCAGAACTGGAGCACGGGCATTGCTTCTTTCGCGTTTAACGGACAGCTGCGCCTTCATATATATCTGGCCCATCCATGCTCCAGCTGTAGCGAGGAACGCTCCGGGAATCACAAAAATCGGGGACATCGCGACAACAGCAGTAAGCTTAAGCAGCATAGCCATCACCATTTGCATGACATTGCCTGTGTAATCCCCAACGGTCGTATCAACTAGACAATCACGCTGCGTCAGTCGCGTGATTATCATTGAGACTCGAGCGCATTGCGTACTTGAATCGATGTCTTGCGTGCACCGTGTCAGTATACGTGAAGTAGGAGTCTTGTCGAGCCATCTATAGAACGTCAGACTAACGCAGTCTTTTGTCGGAGAAGTATCACCTTAGCGTCGTCCCCAGCACAGATGTGATCAGCTCCTTGTGGATTTGTCTTGACGCTCTTTGCATTCCGGCGGTGTGGATGAGAGCAAACCCACCATAGGTGAGTGCAGCAAGCAGGATTATGATTGCGTAGAATCCGATGTATCTGGGATTGCCATCATTAGCAAGCTTTCGGTGTTGGCAGTAGTGCAGCTGACAAAAAGGTGTTGACTTGTGACGCATCGCTCCTCTCGTACTGCTTCGCCCAATAACCAAGATACCATACCTGAACGTTATCGGTGAACTCAGTAATGGTGAGAATACTCATGAAGGCAGCCCAGTACAGTATACGATGCTCTCCTCCCCAGCTCGCAAGATAGAGCTTCACTGTGGTGCTGTCAGTTAAACAAAATTTGACAGGGGCATTGACGAACTTGCTGGCCATCCTACGTGTCCCACCGCGATCTCCTCGGCTACCACAAGCTTTCCTGCGGCTTTCTTCGTCTCCTCTTCTTGTTTGTCTTCTTGAATGTCCATTTCAGCCTTCTCGAGAGCTTCGCGCTCATCTGCGACCTCCGCAGCAAGCTTCCGGTCATGCTCAAGTGCACTAGATAGTGAGCCTTGGCTGGAGATGCGGCCTCCTGCGAGCGAAACCACAAATTGCGAGATGGGGCTGGCCAAGACGACATTGTGCGTCTAGACATATCAGATGAATAAGGTTAGCCTAGCGCTAGAGCCAATCCTAGCACTCACAACCAGGAGAACAGTTCGTCCTCGAATTAAATCTCCATTGAAGCACTTTTCAACGATCAACTTTGCGGTATGAACATCGAGTGCGGCCAACACCTAGTTGTGTCAAATGGGTTGGGATAGCC